ATGTTGTGACCCCCAACCATAAAATTATTTTCGTTGCTACTTCATAACTGTAATTTTGCTACTGTTATGAATCGTAATGTAAATATCTAATATGCAGGATTGTCTTAGGCGACCCCTGTGAAAGGGCCGTTTTACCGCCAAATGGGTCGCAACCCACATGTTGAGAACCGCTGCCTTAAGCCATAAGCCTAATTCAGAGCAAAGCCCTAACTCCCTTGAATTCTCTGAAGGCTGAGAGGTGAGGAAGCTATAAAAGAAAAATCTGAAGCTAACAGAGGTCAATTCATGAGGTTTGAGGAAAGAAGCTGTTTCCATTATATAAAAGTTCAAGGTGAAGCAATCAATGTCAAAGCTGCAGCATGTTATTCAGATTAGGTTAGTTAACGAAGGTGGCTACACCAAATAACAGATTGTATTGATGAGACAGCCTTTTATTGGAAAAAGATGCCATCCAGGAGTTTCATAGCTAGAGAGGAGAAGTCAATGCCTGGCTTTAAAGCTTCAGAGGACAGGCTGACTCTCTTGTTAGGGGTTAGTGCAGCTGGTGACTTTCAGTTGAAGCCAGTGCTCATTTAACTATTCCAAAAATCCTAGAGCCTTTAGAATTATGCTAAATCTACTCTATGTGCTCTAGAAACAACAATGGTTTACTGACTATTTTAAGCCCACTGTTGAGACCTACTGCTTAGAAAAAAAGATTTCTTCAAAATATTACTGCTCCCTGACAATGAACCTGGTCACCCATGAGCTTTGATGAAGGTATACGATCAGATTAATGTTTTCATGGCTGTGGACACAAATTTCATTCTGTGGCCCATGGATCAAGGGCTAATTTCAACTTGCAAGCCTTATTTAAGAAATACATTTTGTGCCCTGGCCAGTTTGGCTCAGTGGATAGAGCATTGGCCTACGGACTGAAGGGTCCCTGGTTTGATTCCTGGTCAGGGCACATGCCTGGGTTGCAGGCTCGATCCCTGGTGGGGGGTGTGCAGGAGGCAGCTGATCAATGATTCTCTCTCATCATTAATGTTTCTATCTCTCTCTCCCTCTCCCTTCCTCTCTGAAATCAATTTTTTTAAAAAAGAAATACATTTTGTGACCTGGCCAGTTTTGTACAGTGGTTAGAGCATCAGCCCATGGATCAAAGGGTCCTGGGTTTGATTCATGTACTTCAGATGCAGGTTCCCCAGCCCTTGTTGGGGTGCGTGCAGGAGGCAACATTGTGTCTCTCTCCCATCGATATTTCTCTCCCCGCCCCCCTTCTACTTTATAGAAATCATTGGGAAAAATATACTCAGATAAAGATTAAAAAAAAAAGAAATACATTTTGTTAGGTTAGGGGTGCCATAGGTAGTGATTTCTCTGATGCATCTGGGCAAAGTAAATTGAAAACTTTCTGGAAAGGATTCACCATTTTAGATGCCAGTAAGAACATTTATGACTAGAGGCCCAGTGCACGAAATCCATGCACTGGTAGGGTCCTTAGTGGCTGCCGGCTACCGCCAGGTACTCCCTTCCTTCCTCCAGCCACCTGCCCCCCACCGCTGCCATTGGTCGCCACCTGCGGGGCCTGATCGCCCTGCCACCACCTGGCTTCCAGGTGCTGAGGGAACATGGTGGCAGCCCCAACCTCCACTGCTGCCACTGGTCACCGCCTATGGGGGCCCGATCGCGCCACTGGTTGCCCTGCAATTGGATGGGTGGAGCATTAGGCCCCTGCCCGGCTCCCTCAGTGTCTGGGAGCCCGGTGGCGGCAGGGTGATTGGCCCCTGCCTGGCGACCAGTGGCTTGCACCTGCCTTGGCCTGGTGCTGCCCACTCACCTGCTCCACCATCCTGCCTCTGTCCAGCTCTTGTCAGGGCCCATCAGGGTCTGCAGCACCTCCACTGCTGCCAGCGCCTCCTCACCAATGCCTGCCATGTTCCATGCCGCCCCCTGGTGATCAGTGCACATCATAGCAAACGGTCGAACTCCCAGTTGAGGGGACAATTTGCATATTAGGCATTTATTATATAGGATTAATGAGAAGAAGTCAAAATATCAACATTTACAAGAGTTTGGAAGTTTATTCCAATCCTCAAGGATAATTTTGAGGAGTTCAAGACTTCAGTGGAAGAAATAACTGCAGATGTGGTAGAAATAGTTAGAGAATTAGAATTAGCCTGAAGATATGACTGAATTGCTGCAATCGTATGATAAAACTTTAGTGGATGAAGAGTTGCTTCTTATGGATGAGCAGAGACCATGGTTTCTGGGGATGGAATCTACTGGCAAAAATGCTGTCAAGAATGTTGAAATGACAAAGGATTTTAGAGTATTATATAAACACTAGGGGCCCGGTGCACGAAATTCGTGCACTGGGTGTGTGTGTGGGGGGGAGTGTCCCTCAGCCCAGCCTGCCCCCTCTCACATACTGGGAGCCCTCAGGCGTTGACCCCCATCACCCTCCAATCGCAGGATCGGCCCCTTGCCCAGGTCTGACGCCTCTGACAGAGGTGTCAGGTCTGGGCAGGGGATCCTCATTTCCCCCCATCACTGGTTCTGCCCCCAGCCCAGGCCTGATGCCTCTGGCCCAGGCGTCAGGCCTGGGCAGAGGACCCCCAGACCCCTCCGATTGCTGGCTCTGCCCCTTGCCCAGGCCTGATACCTTGGCCAGAGGCGTAGACCCCCATCACCCTCCGATCACCAATGATCACCAATCACCAGATCGGCCCCTTGAAGATCTCCCGCTCTGACCCTGCCCAGGCCTAAAACCTCTGGCTGAGGCATTAGGCCTGGGCAGGGGACCCCCAGCTCCCTGCGATCTCCTGCTCTGCCCCTGCCCAGGCCTAATGCCTCTGGCCGAGGTGTCCTGCCCGGGCAGCGGGGACCTGCAGCTGCAGCGGCCCCATGATCGTGGCCTCCACTTTAGGCCCAGGCAAGGGACCCCTAGCTCCCCGGACTGCCAGCTTCGACTGTGCCCAGCTCCCATCGCTGGCTCCACCCGTACTTCCTGCTATCACTGGCCAGGGTGGCAAAGGCGCCTGATTCTCTGATCATGGCTGGGGGGCCGCCTTTGCCCTGCTCCCCGGCTCTTAGCTCCCCCCTGGGTTTCCTATCACTGTCAGTGGCAGGGGCCTTCTTCCTGCTTTCCCTTTCGCCTCCCTGCATTGTGCCTACATATGCTAATTAACTGCCATCTTTGTTGTCAGTTAACTGCCATCCGAGTTGGCAGTTAATTTGCATATAGCCCTGATTAGCCAATGAAAAGGGTAGCGTAGTAAGCCAATTACCATTTTTCTCTTTTATTAGTGTAGATAGTTGATAAAGTCAAGGCAGGGTTTGAGAGGATTGACTCCAATTTTGACAGTTCTTTGTGTAAAATGCTACCCAGCAGCATCGCATATCACAAAGAACTTGTTCATGAAAGGGTCAGTCCATGTGGCAAACTTCATTGTCTTATTTTAAGAAATTGCCACAGCCACCCCAACCTTCAGCAACCACTACCCTGATCAGTCAGCAGCCATCAAAATTAAGGCAAGCAAAAAGATCACTACTCGTGGAAGGCTCAGATGATGGTTAGTATTATGTAATAATGTACATTGTTTTTTAGACATAATGCTGTTGTACACTTGGTAGACTATAGTGTAGTATAAAAATAACGTTTATATCCACTGGAAAACCAAAACATTATTTGAGTCATTTCATTGCAATATTCACTTTATTGTGGTGGTCTAGAACAGAAACCACAATATTTTGAGGTATGCCTGTATTAAAAAGTGTGAATAATCTAACCCTACTTTTGGGAATAAATGGACTTTTTTTTACCATTGAGTTGGTACCTTTATCTTTGAGCCCATTCCACAATTATGTCTTAATTTTATGGTTCTCACCGTGACCCACATGACATATGTTAAAATTAGGAAGCTGTCAAAAATAGCCATTTGTGCTTTATTGTAAAAACAGGTGAAAACTCATATAGAGACAAGTCTTGGGAGGGAGTAAAGTTGGTAATGATTGTGGCTTGTAGGTGTTCAGGCAGGATGAAGAGGTGGAAGATTTCTGGATCATGGAGTCCTATTGGGATGCCCTCTAAAGAGATTTCAGACTGCTCCACAGAAGTGGTGGGGAAGGCGAGACAATGGCTCACTTCTGCTGGTCTTTTGAGTTAAAGGTTAAGGTGCCATGCACTGAGTTATACCATAGCTGGAAAGAATGGATGAAATAGGATATTTAAAAATTTTGTTTTTCATTAATAAATCACTGGTGTCTCGTTTATTTCAGAGCACAAAGTTATCATTGTTGGGCTGGATAATGCAGGGAAAACTACCATCCTTTACCAATTGTAAGTAATAACTATTTTCACATTTTTATTTTATTGCTTACTAGAGGCCTGGTGCATGAAATTCATGCATGGGTAGGCCTGGCCAGCAATCAGGGCCAATCAGGGCCTTCCTTCCCCTGGCTGCTGGCTGCTGGCCAGGGCCTTCCTTTGTTCTGAACCGCCCCCTGGTGGTCAGTGCACGTCATAGCGAGTGGTCGAACTCCTGGTTGGTCAACCTCCCAAGGAGACAATTTGCATATTAGCCTACTATATAATAAAAGCCCAGCGACCATTACGGTGGAACGACCAGAACAACGAGTCACTATGACGCACACTGACCACTAGGGGCAGATGCTCAATGCAGGAGCTGCCTCTTGGTGGTCAGTACACTCCCACAGCGGGAGTGCCGCTCAGCCAGAAGCTAGGCTCATGTCTGGCGAACACAGTGGTGGTGGCGGGAGCCTCCCGCCTCCGCCGCAGCGCTAAGGAGTGGCGAGCCAAGCGGTAAGGAGCGAGCAGGCGAGTGGTTAGGAGCAAGCACTCAGGTGGTTAGGAGCGATGGATCCCAAATTGCGAGAAAGGGCGCAGGCCGGGCTGAAGGACACCCGCCCATTCCCCCCCCATACATGAATTTTGTGCATCGGGCCTCTAGTTTATTATATAGGATAGTTACTTTTTCTGCCTGAGTGATATTTGATTAATGAAAGCAATAAAAAGTTATATGGAATTTAAGTTACTCTAGAGTAGGGGTGGGGAACCCTTTCTGTCAGGGGCCATTTGGATATTTATAACATCAATTGAGGTGCGTATAAAATTATCAACTTAAAGATTAGCCTGCTATATTTGGTCAATAATTAACTCATCCTAATGCCTTGGCAGGGCAAGAGCCAATTATTTCGTGGGCCTTATAGGACCTGCGGGCACAGACGCTCCCCACCCCTACTCTAAAGAGTTGATACTTTTATGACATTGGTTGTTTTGCTGTTAGAAAGTAGAGAAATATGTGTTTATGTAGTTTCCTAGAATTGAATTTAGAGTATCTCAGATAGTCCACTACCTAGTTCCCCCTCTGTTTAAACCCTTAGCTCACTCTTATGAGCTACTGGAAAAGGGACATTTGGGTATAATATATAAAAGGAGGTCATACTGACTGGTCCCTTGATTGAAAAATATTCAAACAATCTAACTTCCTAGCTAGTTGTAACATTTTCAAATTATTTTTTTTTTCAGTTCTATGAATGAAGTTGTACATACATCCCCTACAATAGGAAGTAATGTAGAAGAGATAGTGATTAATAATACACGATTTCTAATGTGGGATATTGGTGGCCAAGAATCTCTTCGTTCTTCCTGGAACACTTACTATACTAACACAGAGGTAATGTTTCTTTCTTTCTTTTTTTTAATTTAAATTCTTTATTGTTTAAAGTATTACATATGACTCCCCCCGCCCTGCCTCCTCCCCCCAATTGACCTCTCCCTGATGTTTCTTAATATATTAGAACTTCTATGAGCAGAACGCTTGGAAAACACCTTCTAGATATGAACTCTTATAGTTAATCTTTCTGAAATATCACAGTATGTTAATAGAAGTAGATTTTAAACACGTAGAATCTTTGATTCCCTATTTCAGGGTCATTGTCTTGTATATCCACTCTCATTGAACCTCTGTAAGGAGAATTGGTAGTTGGTTAGTCTGATTATGTATTGATCCCAGAACTTAAGTAGTTGTTTTTATAATGAATTCCATCTCACAGTTTGTAATATCATTTCTTTTTTACTATTTATTTTTGTGTAGAAGAAAACTAGGTAAAATCTGGTGGTTTCAGTCCTGGCCAAAATTTTACCATGTATTTTATTTTATGCGACACAATTGCACATTAAAGAATTTTTTTCCTTTTGGTTCGCAAGCAATTTAGACAAAACCATGATTTTATTTCCCAAGAGGAAATGTCAGACCAGTGACATTTCAGACCTTCATTGTATAGACCTTGCAAATTGAAAGCCTGTGGCAGTTGCTTTTATAATGCTGATTATAAGTTAATAAAATTCAAAATGTTTGCAAAGGTGAGTAATGTCATTAGACACAATTAAGTGTTTCTGATGACCTGATCCCCTAACACTCCATAATGCATTTGATCATGTATTTTGTTTTTGGTTTTTTTTGGAGAAAGAAAGGTAGATATGGTTACTATTCCCAAATATAATGCTGCAGGTATCAAATTCGTGCAACAGTTTGAAAATTAATAGCTTTATTAAAGTACCTTGGAATAGAATGAGTCTGACAGTAATAAAACCACTTATCAGTGAGGTTTCAAGTGAGAGAAGAGGTAAAATAGTAGCTCTCTTATCATTATGGTTCCTGAAATCTGTAGAATAGAAAAGACTCTGAAAATTACAGGGGTTTATTTGGAAATGAAAGGCTAGTTCTAAAAAATGAATAGTGCATGTTAATAATAGGCCGTCAGAATTAACTCGGGCATCACAAATGCCATCATAAAGTGACTATATCTGCTCCCGTTTCCCTTTTGGTGGGCATGGCATTAGGAAGAGGTGCAGTGTAGTGCAGTCCTGTACAGCTCCTTCACAGGTTTTTCATTGCATCTTCTGACACTAGTCTTACCAGTTCAGGAGAGAGTTGTGCTTGCCAGTAGCAGGTACCATTTATATAAGGAAGAGAGCATGGCTTTAGCTATAGATTTGTTCTTGCAATTTGTTGATTTTAACTGTCATGTTACTTTACTCCCAAACCCATTCCCTTTTGGATTTTCAAATTGATATTAATATAATAAAATAAAAACTGTCTAGAAGTAACTTAAGTTTATGACCGTAATATATTTTTTCTTGACTTATAGTGTAAATAGATGGATATAGTCTTGTTAGCATTCAAAATACTAAATTAGGAAACAAATGTGTTTTATTGGTTAAAATATTAGCAGAATATTCTGATACTATGTTAGTATGTGTTCTCTTTTCTCCTATTTTTCTCTTAAAATTTAGTAAATATATTTGAATTCAAAATGGATCAGACCTTTAGGCTTTATGATGTATATATAGGTATCTGTGGTTTTCCAATAATACCATACCATAAGGTTCTAATTTCTTGATAGTTATAGCCTATAAATCAAATCAGCACTTCATAAATTTTACAATATATAAAATTACATAATCATTAATGACTTTTTTGTAATTCTTTTAGTTTGTAATAGTTGTTGTGGACAGTACAGACAGAGAAAGGATTTCTGTAACTAGAGAAGAACTCTATAAGATGTTAGCCCATGAGGTAAGTAGGACTCTGGCATAAGATGTGTCTATGAGATATTTCTGTCACATTTCTTCTTTCTACTTTTCAGGAGGATACTATTTCAAATGAAAAGAAAAAGTTATTTATCTGCTGGCCATGCCTGCTTTATAATTTTGACACTTCTCAAATCGGAAGTGTATCTGAAAGCAGCAAAAAGAATGTGAAGTCATTTGTAGAATCTTATTTCACGTATCCCAGATAAATTTGGTATAGAAGTTTTCCTGAGTAAAAAAGACCTAAATTGGCTTTCCTTTTACATTTTGAATAAATTAATTATACAGAGTATTATCATTGGAAATGAAATTTTAAAGTCTCACAGATACATAGCAAGTCTTGATTGTAACTCAGTTGTTATACTAATATTTAAATGTGGTTGCTCTTAGGTTTCTCCGATATTGTCCTTTGACTAAACAAACTATATGACTCTCCACATTTCAAAGTCCTTGAGAAATATTACTGGTAGCATAATTTAAAAATTGAATAAACTGAACAATATAGTCAGTAATGATAATAGTAACTATGAAACCACATAATATTTACTATAGTGGCAATTGATTATATTTTTATTGCAGATGGAATAAATTTATTTATAGATGGGAATAGGAAAATGAATATTTAGATGTGTGTTATATAATTTTAGTGGAATTTTAATAAAGCTTAAAAATCTGGGATATCTTTATAACAAAGTTTTATATTTGAATATTGATTTGATGATTTGCATTAAGAATTTTGGTATGTTTCAGGCAACTGTTCAAGACTTAAGAAAGCTAGTAAAGTTGTTATGTAAGTTGAACTTCCTGTTTTCCTTGTGATCATGCCCACCAAGATGCACTTTCCCCTGTTTTAAACTGATTTGAGCAGCTGTGTTAAATCCCTTGAGTTTTTGGTTTTTTTAAAAATGCATCTTGCTTTTGTGCGTGCACTTAACAAGTTGCGATTCTACTTTGTGAAACAATCTATAAAAGAGGCAGAACACTAAGGAGTTTTTTCATTTCCCCTTTGTATTTTACAAAAATATGTTTTTTCAGTTTATACCAAAGAGTTGTTTTATGTTCTATGAAGACTTTGGAAAAAGAAAACTAAGACACACATATTTGTCTTAGCTCAGTTTTTTAGCCTGTTAACAGGCAGCCTCCCTATTTGATTCTTACTCTGATTGGCCAGTTATATAAGGATCAGTATAGAAAGTAGTAGCGCTCAAACAGTCACTGAATTCTACTTGGTTGGGGCCGTTAACTTGGGCAGGCCAATATGTGACCTAACCAGCTTTTTAAGAGCCAGGCTTTGAATTTAGGCATTTTCATCATTCTTGCTATTGCTGAGGGTGGGGAGTGAGGGGAGTGGGGGACAAATAGGGCATAGTTAGAAAATGAAAGGAAACTGAATGGGAGATTACCAGAGAAGAAAGGAATTGCAGATGAAGTTGAGAACTAGAGTAAGACACTTAAAAGGGTCCAAATAGAGTTCTGGAGGGGAACAAATGGATCAAAGAATAGGATGTATTAATGAAAAACAAATTTTCAATGGGGTTAGTCAGATGTTTCATACCACAATCACCAACAGAATTTTATCACCATCACTGATAATGATTCTTTACATGCATTACTAAATACAGAGCTATAAAATGTTTTTCAGTATTACCGAAAGCTTCCTCTTAAATAAAGTGCAAAACTTAGAAGCTCATGAATTTTAAAATAGTTCCAAATACAAAAGGACAGATGAAATTTTATTCAGAATGACTCAACTTCTAGGAATTATCTTCACAAATGAAGCTTTGAGGAAAAAATTGACAACTACATATGGCATATAGAAGATGCTAAGTAAATATATCTTGCATGTGCTATTACTCATCTTCTTGACTAAACTGAAAACAGTTTTTAGACTCTTAGGACCAGAAATCAGTAATATGTAGCAGAAAGTTTTTTAAAGTGCTTAAAATGGCTGATGAATAAAAGATCACAGCTGTTCACCTTGTACTTTGACCTCTTGTTAAGTCAAGTTGTTGAACAGCCTTAATCCTATATAACTTTTTACTGTTATCATAAGGCATAATTGGTGCTGAATAATAAAAAGTAAAGGACTATTTTCTTTGCTCTCTTCCTAAGTATTTAAAAATAGGTAATATAGCTGCTGTTGTTTTTTTTTTTAATTAAGAACCCCAAATAAAAAAAAATTGAGTCTATAAGATCTAGAAAAATTATATTCAATATGGGGTTTTTCAGTGTGTTTTTGAGACCTTTCAACAAAAAGGCTTTATTTCTTATCCTTTCAAATTGTAGTCCAGGGGCTTCTCCAAATAATTTAATCACTAGAAATGAGGAATATAGATTACTTACAAATAAGGTAGTATAAATTTATGTTTCCTAAATTGTGCCAAGTTATTTCTGTTGTCAAAATTTTGTTCTTAGAATGTGCCAGCATTACCAATCCTGACCTATATAAAAGGTTTCAACAGACACTAGCAAGAGATATTGAAACCTGGAAGATAGGAAGATAGGAATTAAATCCATGGAAAGGCCATCTACTCAGTGATTCAGCCACAAATCAACTATTGATGCTGTTCCATTTCCATTTAAGATAAGAGAAAAAAAATACCTGTATCCTTGATAATGAATATATATATACGTATAGTCCATCCATTCAGATTTTTGCCTTTTATTATATAAACAGGTAAACTGAACTATAGATGAAACAAATTGAATGAGAAATCTTAAAAATTAACATTGTAGTATTCTTTTCTGACCATGCTCTTCAGGTAACTCATTAACTGTGTTACTATAGCTGCCAACCTGCAGAGGGCACTGTAACTAAAGTCAGTCTCCGTTATTTTAAACCTTTTGCCTAAGTCCTCTTACTCCTTACATTTTTTATTTACATCAGAAAGAATCAAAGAAGCCAATGAAACTATTTTAACAAGAGTAAAATAATGTGGAGCAATATCAGTTTGTACCCATTGAAGACTTTCCTGCTTCAAGCACATATACACATGATTGAAAACAAAATATCCCACTAAAATCCCTAAGAAAGATGGCATTCAACACAGTTGAGAAAACTTGCAAGCATAGCAACCAGACCACAGCATCTCTTCATATATATAGGAAGAATTTTATGAGAGTTTAATCCATGGAGTGTTTCCATCATTAGTTCTTAGTCCATGATCTATGAATGGATTTTAGAGTATCTATTAACACTTTAAAATTATACATATACTTTTTTTGCATATATACAAATGTGCATTTTTATGAAGAAGAGGTCTATTATAATCATCAGTAGATTATCAGGGAAGTCCCAGACTGTAAAAATGGTTGCAAGAGGGAAGAGTGGAGTAAGTCAAAGGAGGCCAAGAACCCTGGTCTGTGTATTGAGTAAAGCATACCAATCACTTTGGGGCATGCACACGGGTAAGGTAATTATTATTTTGGAGGCAGTAAATGAACTAATATTTGTTGAACTGTCACCAAAAGCCAGGTACTGAACTGAGTAGTTTAAATGTAATACTTTATTTGTTAATTAAAACCACATCCCTAAGAGTTAGGTAGTAGTCTTAGCATTTTACAGATGAGGGGCAGTAGCTACAATAGGAAGATCTAGGCTAAAACTGGGTCCTGTCATTGAGTAGCTATATGACCTTGTCTGAGTTACTTACATCTGTCCTCATCTGTAAAATGGGACTAGTAAAGCCTACCGTATAGCAATCTTGTGAGGATTAAAGAGTTTTTATTTAGAAAAAGATTAGTGTGATGGGTGGCTTGCTCAAGTTAGATACTCAATAAATGTTGGTAATGAGGAACAAATTCAGAAAGGTTAAAAAACTTTCCTCAGAATCAAAAAATTGAAGTGGTAGAACTTAGTTTATAAGTTTAATGCCAATCCAAGATGGCCATATCAAGTATTCAAATCTAAGAAATCATCATGGACAAAGACAGAGGAGCTAGGTCTCAGAAAAGGATAGGGGTGGTTTAGGATAGCACCATTCAACTGAGAATGAAGCCCTAAGTCTCTAAGGCAGGGGTGGGAACCTTTTTTCTTCCAAGGGCCAATTGGATATTTATAACAACATTTGCAGGGCGTACAAAATTATCAACTTAAAAATTAGCCTGCTCCAGTGTGGCTCGGGTGGGTGAGTGTCATC